TACAGGAACTATTCGAGCCGTTCATGCCAGACTGGGGAGAGAGGTGTTGTAATAATGTAAAATATGTGAAAAATACAACCTAGTATGAGAGCCTGTTCTAGTACACCCCCAAAACAAAATCAAGACTTTGTAAAAGAGCATAATAGGACCCCTTTAAATAAAATACATTCTCATTACAGTACATACTAAAATCACTAATACTGATATAATGAATGTTACTGACTGTTAAAGAGGAAAAACAGACTTTCTCATGTCCTACCTCATCAGCGAGAAGGGAAAGTTCACTTGTATCTGCAGCATCATAGTCATACAGCACTTTGGCCTTGCGAGTGCCAGTGGCGGGAGGCTTCACCTCCTCAATCTTCAGCGTGCTGGACTCAAGGGCATTGGAGGGGTTTGGGGAACGACTAGGTGGAGAAGTCCCAGGTAGGGTGGCAGTGGAAAGGGGAGAAGGGTCTGCTGACACCCCTGACGTGGAGGCGTTCACAGCAAAAGCGTTAGGAAACCTGGAACAGATTCACAGATTCAAAACCATGGACACAGTGTGTCTGAATAAATATAAATATAATTATAAATATAAATATCTAGCTGTTGCTCACTCATGACACAGATATTACATGAAAAGTGAAAGAAGGAAAATTTCTCAGTCACATGAATGTAATTGCTTAAATTTAGTGGGCAAACTTTCTTCCTTTTTCAGTGTGATGGAAAAAGTTACTCACGTATCTCCGTTCGCACTAAGAACAGGAAAGAAAAAGCAGAAAAAAAAAACATCAGCTCAAAGTTGATCTCAAGAAGTCTTGTGATTTTCTTCACTAGAAAAGCAGTTGCCATAAAGGGGAATGTGTTAGGCAAACCCCTTGTTACTCACACCTCGTTTTGCCACATCTCTCTATATCAAAAATAGACTAAAGTTACTAAACTGTCATGCATCTCCTGTAGAACATGGTCTTATTTGACTGCAGTCGCTCTAGGACAGAAGAACAAATGGCTGTTTATGTTTATTTTGGAGTTTGCAGCACCTCACTGAAGTTCTCACCTGCTCAGCTCTTTCTGAAGATCCTGCATGTGCTTGTGACACTGTGTGTAATAAGCAGCCTGGGCCTCCACAAACTCATGCAGACAGCGCAAGTGGTTCACCTGCAATGGAATTGCAGAATTTGAAAGACTCTTTCCTCATTTCCTTATTCAGAGAGAGGTATACTCTACTGTTCAAAAGATTGGGGTCACAATTGTTTTCAATTAAAAAAAAATAAAATAAATAAGCTGTGAATACATTTCAGGATTCTTTGATGAATAGACAGAACAGCATTTGTTTGAAACAGAAATCTTTTGTAACATTATAAATGTTGTTACTGTCACTTTCATTAAGTATTAATTAAGTATTTCTTCCCAAAAAAATGTTTCAGAAAATCATACAGACCCCCAACTTTTGAACGGTGGCACTGCAACTCATTTTGCTTGTGTAATGTCAAAGAGCGGCAGTGCGAGTGTGAGAAGCGCAGGTACTCACATGTGTGCTGCTGATGCCCTCCAATAGGAGGCGTGTGACCTCTGCCTGTCTGTCAAACTCAGTCTGAGCCACACGCAACTCGTGCTCTGCCTGGTGGAGCCACAAACAAGGAGAAAAAAAAAGGGAAACCACAGGACACATCATCCACACAGCTCAACTATTTGAATAGCAATAGCAAATGAAGACCTCAGTTTTTTCTTGTTTTATAGGTTCTCAGCAACACAATACATTTTTGATTTGACATCATTTCATCTTTATTATGAATCTTTTTGCCACTTTTTGAAAGAGACAGTCGAGAGAGGACAGGAAACCATGCTGAGAGAAAAGGGAAAAGAAATTAACACAGGCCAGACTCCTTAACCTCAAACCACGTCACATGACTCACGTGGCTCAACATGTGCTCTAACTGCTCGCCACTCCCCCATTTAGCACAACTGGTGGTTATTGTAATCCATTTATGAAGGAGATGAAACATGCACATAGTTAAAATTACTCAGTGTTGGGAAGGTTACTTTGGAAATGTAATAGGATACAGTAGTGTATATAATAAGTAGTGTAACTTTTTCAATTACTTTATTAAAGTAATGTAACTGATTACATTTGATAACTTTTCTAAATTTCTAATGGTTTCACTGTTAGTCATTTTCAAACATTTAAACCAGGCAGGGTTAACCTTACAGTAGTGCTCAACACCACAACCCCAATTCCAGAAAAGTTGGGAAGTTTTGTAAAATGCAATAAAATCAAGAATCTGCGATTTGTTCATTCTCTAACTTTTATTTAATTTGGAAAAGACTTCCAAAGTTTTCACTTACCAACATAAACCAATTTTGATGGCTGCAACACACTCCAAAAACGTTGCGACAGAGGCAAATTAAAAGTGAAAAGGTTATAGAGTATCCTAATTAAACTGTTTTGAAACGGTTTACAGTAAGCGGGTGAATTGGTAATTGGTGAGGGTGTCATGTTTGGGTATAAAAAGAGCATCTCAGTCTTGATCATGGCTCATCACTTTCATGTGCCAAATTTCATGAGAGAAGTGTCAAACAAATTTTTAAAAAATCACATTTCTCAATGCAAAATCACAAAGAATTTAGGTATTTCACCAACTAGCATATATAATATTGTGAAAAGATTCAGAGAATCCACAGAAATCTCAGTCTGTGTAGGGCAAGGCATGAAACCTCCAGTGAATGTGTGTGAGCCGTCATGCTTCGGTGTTAAATATAGCCACAGTACTTCTGTAAAATCGCTGTCACTTAACACAGTCTGCTGCTTTATCAATAAATGCAACTTCAATCTCTGTTCCTCTAGGAGGAAAATATACACCAATTCTATGCAGTGATGCTGCAGCGTTCTCTGGGCCAGAGCTCATCTCAGATAATCAAAAAGGCAGTGGAAATGTGTGCTGTGGTCAGATGAGTCCACA